GAGATTTAACCCTTTCCTGACTAAATGCAGCACAGCATGTTTCAGACAGCAAAAACGGAATCAGCTGCTTGGGGCAGAAACAAGTTAATAGGACTTAAGTACCTCTTGCAGTTTTTTGCAAAGAAAGATAGATAACGCATGGAGCAACTGCAAATGAAGCTATCGGAATCTGGGTATGCATTCTTAAACAAGTATCACATGTGAGCCATTATAATTATAAAAAAAAAAAAAAAAAACAACAAAAAACCCCAAATCCCAAACCAACTGAAGAACATTTTCCAACTTGACAACAGGGCAAAATATTTTCTGAAGTGCATCCGAACTGGACAACCGAACTCGGTACAGATCTCCCTGAGTCAATCCAAGCAGTACAACTACGCAGCCGCACTTATTTGAGGGCCAGGTATCTGCGTGATGCTCCACCATACAGCAGACACATCGGCTTTTTTCAGGCTGTGTGAGATTTCCAGCGAGGTGCCACTGGGAGAAGCCGTTTTTTCTCTCTAAGAGGCTGTCTGTGTTCTTTAGATGAGACAGACCTTTACCTTCTGAGCATCTTTGGTGTGGGGCCGGGCAGTGGCACCAGGATGCTGCAGCTACTCTGCATGGATAGGTTCTTTGCTGCGTCAAAGCAGGAAGAGAAAGCTTGAGTCCTTGGGAGTGAGATTTTTCAAACAGCGATTGAGTCGGCGCCAGTTCCGTCTCCCTACTTCTCTCTACTAACATACATCACTACAAACCATGTTTTTGCAAAGCAGACCCTTGTTTTAGGCTAAAGATGGCAAGGTGAAAAAACCCCCTGTGAACTGATAAAAGCCATCATTAGGGGGGCATGTTTTTCAGCTGAAGTGGATGAACCAGGGCATGCACAATACAGCCCACCACACTTAACTGTATTCTTTTAAAGAAGAAATAAAGCGCCCTCAAAAGCACATCCCATAAATATAAGCTCCACATCAGCTACAGAACCACTGTACTGTTTGCGGTGAGCGTTACTGGCACTCCATTCCCCTCTACAAGCATAAGCATGGAGGTTTTTTACTATTACATTTTCTCAAACAGTTAATGCAAAATATACATAATCAATAACTACAGTAACGACAAAAATAATTGCACAAAGAATTGTTGGACATAGCTAAAATGTTAGGAAGACATCACATTTTCAGCCTGCGTTTAAAAACCCACCGAAAAGCTCATTTGCATTACACTTACCGTGATGAACCAGTAGGAATTGATTCTGTAGATGAGTCTGGATAAGAAACCGAGCTGACTGGCTGGGGCCAGAACATGAAGATGCAAGTGGGATATTGAGCAGAAGGGAGGCCAGTGAAAACCCAGTCTTAGAAAGGGAAACAAGTGAAAAATACCCACAATCTTAATTCAGGAAGAAGTGGAACATCTCAAGTTCTTTAACATCAATTGAATTCACAACTGCGGCTCATTGCATTTTCCCTGTACATGAAGGCAGGAAGAAAAATACGCCCTTTCCATTCATTATGCTCTCAGTGAACCTTTCCAAAAGCCCGGTAACCTCCTCCTTCACATCTCTGTATTTATAGCATATTTTGTTAAAAAGCAGTGTTTAAAAAATAAAATTTATCTTTAATGTATCATATCCAGTTTTCAGCTGGAAATGCTACTGTCACTATAATGTAGTTTCTACCTGTTTTAATCATGAAGGCCCAGCTTGCTAAATGCTATTTAAATTATAGAATCATAGAACCATAGAATGGTTAGGATTGGAAGGGACCTTAAAGCCCATCTAGTTCCAACCCCCCTGCCATGGGCAGGGACACCTTCCACTAGACCAGGTTGCTCAAAGCCTCATCCAGCCTGGCCTTGAACACTTCCAGGGATGGGGCATCCACAGCTTCTCTGGGCAACCTGTTCCAGTGCCTCACCACCCTCTCCGTGAAGAACTTCTTCCTGATATCTGATCTAAACCTCCCCACTTCCAATTTAAACCCGTTACTCCTTGTCCTGTCGCTACAGGCCCTATGTTACAATTCTATTATGTTACAATTAATTAAATTTTATTATGTTACAATACAATAAAATTATGTTACAATTTACTTCGGCTATCAAAGGCATTGGCTTAAACTAAAGGGTGCAGCACTGAAATCAAATGAATGCAGGTGTGACTGAAACACAATGCAGTGCCCTGCTGGAACAGGACAAAGTTTACCTCTCTTTTGGAATCTACGATTTAGAGCATATTTTCAGCATGTAATCAAAGAGCAGCCTTTCAGGTAAGTTGTTTGAGGTGCCCTCCCTATCCCAAGATGTGGTCAAGAAAGAATCTCGAAGTCAGAACGCAATCTGCACTGGAAATTCATCAGAAAAAAAAAGAGTTTATATTCAATGCCAGCACATTCTACTTGAAAAGTAGTGCAGGAAGTGAATGCAGACCCAATTTCTTCAATAAATCATACAGCAGTTGCTGCCACTGTCTCTAAAATAGCATTCTAAAAAGTAAAGGACATCGTGAACACAGAAGGTTTCCATTACATACCTTATATCATTCAAGTCACTAAAATTATTTTTCTGGAGGACAGCTTTTCCAACTTCTATCATTCTCTTCACTGTTAAGCACAAATAGATTCCATTTAATGTTTAAATACTGTTTTACACATCATATGTTATTGAGTAATTTAAAATAGGTATTCTTCAGAACATTACCTTCAACAAACTGATTACACTGAGATCACAAACTTGGGTTTTTCGTAACATAAATACTGTAACTACTCATAGTCAAAGATTGGCAAGACAGTGTTGTGCAGTGATGGACATGAAAATTGCCAGTGTTACCAGTTTCCACACTAATGATCCTTTCAAGTGTGGTGTTATTCTAAGAACTTTGGCCAAAGCCATGCTATCACCACACTCTTACAAAAACCCCAACAAATAGCGACTGGTTAGAACGATGATGTTTACACCAATCCCAGTGTTGTACCTCTACACAGCTACAGGACTTTGATCTCTAGGTCCTGTGCAGCCTGGCATAAATTAGGAAGTTTCAGAGATGGTACATAAATATAAACGAAAATAAAATAAACCTGCCAGTCCTACTTATGACTAGGACAAAGTTTCACTACTGTATCACTGAGAAACAAAGAAACCCTAACACAAAAACTCAAGAGAAAACTCTAAGGAATTGTCTCAAAGCCAAACACACGTAGCAGTTGTTTTCTGGAGAAAATTACCCTACTTTTAGAGGAGAAATACAGTGATGCCAGATCTGCAACATACAACTGTAACTCTTTACTTGCATCAGCTGTAAATTTCCCTGTGGTGGAATCTCCTCAGGCAGGTATGGCTGTAGTTTCTTCTGTTACTCAACACACTCAGCCAGGCATTTCTTGTGAAACAAATTCCAGGACAATGTTTTCTTGGGAAGGAGGGAGAGCACCTATCAATGCTTATCAATCATAGCGTCAATATCTTAGAATTTTCTCTTTTCAAAGATTATTGGGTTATTGGAACAACACTTCCCTCTTTCTTCTCTTACTCCCTTTTTTCCTAAAAAATAATGCATTTATTTAAAAGTATACATTTTTTAAAATTATTCTGTAATTTTTCATATAATTTAAAATGGTAAATATATCTAAGAAAACGCAATGAAGCAGCACATAAACACTTTAAAGCTGCAGTTCCAAAGAGTCCAGAGGCATCTATGCTCCATGCAAGCAAAAGATTTCAAGCATTAACGCACTATTTTTCTAGAATCACGCACCAAAAAACGTGCTGTTCTAGAATAGCACACGGAAGTTCTCAGGAAGGGTTTACACCCTCCAACAGGACTCAGAGGTGTAACTTGACAACACACTACTGAAGGCGGTGCAAAATGATCTTCCCTTAGGTTAAGCACACACCTGCAGCCTTACCTAGCGTTATGTGCTCTGCCTTCAGTGTCTTGCAGTTTCCCATGTGCTTCACCGGCACCACCAGGTAGTGGTGGGGGGCACCAGGTCTGTTATCTCTAAAGCAAACAAGGTCTTCATACTAAAAAAGGGCGCAAACGTATTAAATCGATTAGGACGAGGGTATTGCCAAAGCATAGGTACCAAAGTCCATCTTCCCCGTATCGGTGTGATGCTTGTATTTGTAGTAACTAACAAAAATCTTGGTATTTTTGGAGCCAGCCTACAGAAAGACTTGTCAGCACGAGTCCCCCGGCAGTCACGATACCGCAGTGTCTGCTGTAAGGCTTCTGCATGTTGTGCCAGCATTTGAGGATCCGCGTTTCCCTCCTGCCCCCGCAAAAGCGCAGAGGACCCTCCGGCCTACCCCGAGCCCGC